CATCCCGAAGTACAAGGAAACCGAAAAAGACCTTGTCGTTTTTTATTTACTAGAAAAAAATGATTACAGTAAATTTGACATACCGTTATTCCTCAGAATAATCCACATCGTTATTCAGAACCTCTATTTATGCAATGTCCTGCCGGTAAAAATCAGTTGTCATGGACTCAAAGAGTTATGTGAGTGACTGTTGGAATCTGCCTCATTTGAGAAGGATTTCCATGAAGGTAATTTTCCAAAGAAATGAGTAGGTGGTAATCTGTTAACGCAAGGTTCAGGAAGTTAGGTAGATGACACAGTCACCCAGCCATGTCGCCGTATGGCATCCCTGGCCACCCGCGCCAGATGAGGCCTGGCATTGCCATGGAGGAACTATACTGGCACCATCTGCTTCAGTGCCTGTTGCACACGTTCCAACTGCCACGACTAAAAGTCCGCAGTGATGATTTGGCCCGTTTCCAGCAGCTCATTGTACACCACTTGTCGATTCGTCCAGCAACGACAACTTTTAAGTAAACATTACCAAAAGAAACTTATTTGTTGTAAAAAAGAAAAAAAAGTATACAATCTCAACAGAGAAACAAGTTATTGATTGACAGGTAAATAACGTTGGATATTGTGAAAGAATTGGACAGAGATTTTCGAACAAGCCAAAAAGAAATGGAAAACATTGTCAAGATAAAAAGAAAGGGAAAACATGGCTTTAAGACACAAAGAGCGATCTGAGAAAATCTTTCAAAAAAATGAGACAAGAAAGAGAAATTGATTGACCGGGAAGAAAATATTGGAAGCTGACGTTGCATATGTAAACAGAAGAGACACCTAAATATAAGAACACTGGCTAAAGACTTGACAGCAAGCAAACTACCAGTTTCAAGTAAACATCAAAAAGATAAAATTGTTTATTTGATAAAGAAACACATGAAAACCTATAAATGTATTGATGGATATAGAGTTACACTAGATTGACTTTGTTGCTTGGCTTGATTCTTATATAGAGTGGGTTTGTTTTGTTTTTTGTTTTACGGCAAATAAAGCTCAATGGGTGGGCACCTCGAGACGGTGTAATAGTTAGCAAGTTTGTCCCGCTATTACGACTGTACGGCAAGTTTGTCTACAATTACCACTGAATAGTGAGTTCGCTCCTCACTGGATGCCCCACACTTTCGGCCTTGTGCCACATCTAAGCTAAGCTTAGAAAATCACTATATGACGCACCTCGAGGCAGGCTAAAGTTTATCAAGCTCATCTCGCTAGAACAATTACGACTGAGTAGTGAGTTCGATCCTCACTGGGTGCCTATAAGCCTCAATTGGTTATTTAATGTCAACAAGTTTTTTTTTTATGCTGGTAATATTTCTTTCTTTAAAAAAATGTACTGATGGTAATAATGTATTGCTTGTAATACTTTATTTCAAAAATATATTTCTGGTATTAAAATCTATTTCATAGTGTTTTGACCCCAGATTGGGAGTTAACTATTTGCTCATAGCTGGGACCTTGAAATGTGCTACTCACTCGGGTCAGGGTGGACCTGGGAACACCAACAATTAAAAGGTAGTCCCACATTCCTCAAAACTCCTGATCAGAGGCCTTGTTGCCGGATGTAGTTTATCGTCATACCCAGGAAGCTTTTATATAGAAATAGAAGCAAACACGAAGCGCATATTTAGAAATTCATATGGAATTGCGCTAGATTATATCCTATTATAATTGTGCTTGTCCTTCCCTTCGTTAGGTTTCACAACCGTTACACCCAGCCAATACCCCATAAATAATGAACTATTCTGCTTTGTGTGGAAAGAGGGGAGAAAGCACTCTTTGGTTTCACTGATTCTCTCTGTCTATTATTTCAACCTCATCCCACATTACATTTATTTTGCAGTCTTATCTTAAATGAGGTGGCCTGTTTCTCCTTTATATTTCTTGCAACAGCTGCTGGGGATTGCATACACACAGTTCTTATTCATGTTCTCATCTATGGGTGGTCTTACACGGAAGAGATGTCTGCATAGTGTTACTAAAAGGAATTAACTGAAAGCAAGATATCCAAAAAGGCATGAAGCATGGAATTAGAATAATCTATCCCCATAGACTACATAAAGAGTTCGGTTCCAAATTCCAACCTATATAACTTTCGACCAAGGGAATCAACTCAAAATTTGTTGTTTTCGCTTTTCAGCTTGCATTTGCAGCTGTGTATCAATTAATATTGCTCGACATACAATTCAACTGCTCGACTTACAATTCAAGTCGTTTATGTGTGAATTAAATCCTCATACTTAGAAAAAAAAACGGCATGCCAGGTGAAAATGCGATATTTCAAAAACGAGTCGGTTGATTGGTTGATTTTCTTTAGCGGCATATTAACATCTCTATGGGTCATTTCATGCCGAAATCTAAATATTTTGAACGTAATTGTATGTATTTAACGAAAGATAAAATGTATTGTAGGTCATTTTACTTTAAATATGTATCGTTGGTAACGTTAATAAACAGATATTTCTGGAAACTTTACTATAAATTGGTATTGCTGATAACTTTACTATAAATAGTTATTACTGGTAACTTTACTATAAAATGTTATTGCTGGCAACTTTACTATAAATGGTTATTGCTGGTAACTTTACTATAAATTGGTATTGCGATAATTTTTACTATAAAATAAGATAATTGGACATTATCTATTCGTCTTCAAAGACGACTAGATGGAACATATACAAATTTACTTCGAAAAACCCAGAAGATCATTTAGAGATCTCATGCAGCATTTAACACAATTTACGGAGCTTAAACAAAAACGATTACAATTTGCCGGCCACTGCCACCGAGTGGACAGAGAATTCGTCTCTTCCTTACTCCGATGATATCCTTCTTGAAGTGTCTTCTAGCGAAAATTGACTTTCCCAGACACCATGGCTCGGGACTCAGGGTTCGACATTGTGAATCTGTGGACAATAATACAAGACCCAACAAGACCAACCAGAGAAAAGTCGAAGAATAATGATGATGATGATGATGATGATGATTGGAATATTTTGTTAAAGTTATTAAGCCCAAATATTTAACGATGTGATAGAGGAAATGCTATTGATATTCTATTTTCATAGAATACGCCATGTGATTATTCTATCAATTAACTAAAGAATTAAAATTTATTAGAAAATCTAAATCGGAAAATTTGAAGACATACCTTCGTCAGAGGCACGTGTTCGTTGATTTCATAGAAATCCGTTGTTTTCATTTTAGGAATATCCCCACCCAGTGATACCGTGTTATCACCGACTTGTTGGACATTAATTGATTGAGGCGCATCTTAAAAGTATGAAAATTCGTGGGAAAAACGCACACACATATGCAAAAATATTTTTGTATGAAAATAGGGATCTGATGAATTCGGACGAAAGTTTCGGTCCTAAAGAAATAACTTATAATCCCATGAACCCTTTTTAAAGTTGTCTGTTTTTTAATATAATTAATATTCGCTCTGTTTTTACATTGAGCTCTCTGAATTACATCCTCCTTAGAATTATCCATCCGGATCAACAAATAACTTCATTAACTAACTAACTAACTAACTATATATATATATATATATATATATATAATGATGAAATTTTGAGGGGGATTTAGAATAATCATATATAGTAATTCACCTAGCTCAGAATAATGTTCAACTGAATGCAGAAGGCACTGGGCGGCCGTTTCGTCCTATTTGGGACTCATCAGCAGTGTACATCCACTTCCCAGCAAATGTTCGTGAGGAGCGGCTAAGGATTATGCGATCGTCAGATGCAAAAGCGTGAAAAAATATATAATAGATCGTACATTGAACGCTGGTAAAAATGATATAGTGCTCGATATAATATAAGGAGCTACTAAGTATATATTAATAAATATACATATTATTACTCACTGGTAGCACGACTCTGAGTTTCATTCCCAACACAGTCTTAAGGTGCTGCGTAGAGACTGACCATAACGTAATTTAATTTTTAATAAAAATTTCTGGCTAGCGCAACGCTTGCATAGTCCACATATTATTCGGGGATTATGGGGTTTTAAAAAAGGAAAAAATAGACGGGATTTATTTTTTTATTTAAAATGAACGGGAATTTTTTTTTTTTTAAGTTTTGTATTAAATGGATTTAAAACTATAAATTATCAAAACCTACAATCAAAGGCCTTGTTTCTAGATGTAATTTACCGTCATGCCCAGGACGACGCTATATATATATATATATATATATATATATATATATATATATATATATATATTTTGATACGACAGAATTTGTAAACTCTTTTGAACAAATAAAATCGCATTTTTTTCTTTAATATTTTCGGCCAGCACCTTAATAGAAGAATTGTTGGCAACCTGAAGATAATATTAACAGAACGAGAAAATACGACTAATATATATATATATATATAGTTAAGTTATGAAGAATTTGGTAAACCGAATTGGTAAATCCAAGGAGGATGAAATCCTGAGAGCTCAATGTGAAGAACAGAGCTAATATTTAATGAACAACAGACCACTTTAAGGTACCATTACAATAATTTATTTCACCAAAAAAAGTGTTACCTGATGATCTAAATCCTTTAAAAAGTATTTTGGTGATATAAATTATTTGTAATGGTACCTTAAAGTGTCTGTTGTTCATTAAATATATATATATATATATATATATATATATATATATATATATATATATATATATAAAAGATTTAGAGTATTTTTGAAACATGGTTGGAACTGTGTAGCGAAAAAAAACATATTTTAAATCAATTAATTTATAATATATATATATATAAAAGAGAAAGAAAAATGCCAATACTCAATAATATCAAATATGAACACGACCATAACATTCTGACTCTGTCTGGAAACAAAAGAAAACATTCCAAAGAAAGTGGCCTTAACGGTCTGGCAGTCTGCTGCAAGTATTAATCCATACTTGAGAGTCAAATGTAAAAAGGTTTGTTTGAGAACTTACCTCACTGGCGTCGCCAATGTTAACTGTGTCTCCCGTCTCTGCTACGTATCCAATGATTCCTTTACCCCAGTGCACAGTAATAGCATCATCCGTCGTCGACGGCAAAAGATTTGTTCCAGAGTGAACGTCGAATATCTTCGACACCAAAACAGGTTTCTCCTTAATAGACCTATCTACTAGAAAAAGCGACCCTTTGTCGCCGTCCACGAGGATACTGATGTTTGCGATAATTTTTGCACTTAAACTGACCGGATTCAAATCGTTGGAAATCTCCTTGACGATCTCCAAGAAGAATTCCCTCTCGTTCATATGAAACAATTCCCTTTTCATGTCAATATCCTTGCTGGGATAACGAGGCAAACGTATCTTGGATTGAATCAACATGCCTAACATGTTCAAGGAGGTCGGTGGTAAGGAACGGAACTGTCGCAATTCTTTGAGGCTGCTTCGTCTGGCTTCAGTATTGCAAGTCGATGGACAATAGGTTCGAAACATGTTTCGGAGCTTCGACTTGGCAAAGTCCTGGCGAAGGTGTTTCTTCGAATTCGATCGGTGATGTTTGGAGTCGGGGAAGAAATTCTGGTCGCTGTATTTGTTGTCATTTGGAGAGGTCGGAGTAATGCTTTCTTGTCCCAGCGATCCCTTTCGCCCGGAAATGTAATCTTGCAAGGCTTGGAATCCATGATTCGTTAGCCACTTATTAATAAGTGTCAGCTCTGCTTTACGAAGAAAGTAATCGTTAGCCGTTTCTGGATTAGAATCCAACCATTCCTCGACGCTGCAAGAATTCAAAGTGGGATGAAGACGATTCATTGCTAAAAAATCAGTTGACTGACTTTTTGGTTACAGGAACAGGTCTGCACAACTCAGGTCTGCAATGTAAAGAGAAAAAACAGTGACAAATATGAATGAAACAAAATGGCTGACATAGTTGGCAAAAAACTAAGAATATAAAAATTTCGTGAAAATTATTTTACGAGAGAACTGCATTTCAGTGGATTTTTCTCCAGTGAAATGTTGAAAGTAGACATTTATGAAACAAAAACGTCAAAGGTTTAATTCATTCTTGTGATGACACATAGACGTGACCAAAAACCAAGAACATTAAAAAATGAATTGGAAAATAGTTTACGAGAGAAATGCATTTCAATTGATTTTTGTTGTGAAATGTTGAAGGTATCATTTATTTATAAAACATAAATGCCAAAAGAATTATTCAATCTAATGATCCTATAAAGTAGCAGGAAAGATACTAAAAACATGAAAAGTAATTGGAAAATATTTTATGCTGAAAATACATTTCAAATTGTTTTATTATACATTGCAAGTTATTTTGATATTTGATGTTTATGGCAAGTACCTTTATTAAACAAACAGGTGAAAACTTACATTTACTCTCATGATTTAACATATACTGTCACAAACATTCAAATTTTATGTAGGAAACACGCATATGTGAAAAAGATGTATGGTGCGCTAAAAAGGAAACCCATTTTGGTGAGTAATAATTTTAGAATTTGATTATATAAATCTTTTACTCTGTTCTGGAAGATTTATAGACAAATTATACATTTTGACGTCCCTATGCTAATCAATGAATGATTATCATAACACAGTTTTCGTGAATATTTTATTGTTGCAAGAGGGCGGGGCAGACAGTCAGGAGTTTATGAATAAAACCGCCATGGGGACAGCATTTAAATGTGGAATTTCATGATTCATGTTTACAGCTTTTGTTGCTTAAATTTTGTTTTGCAAAATGTTGCTAATCAATATCTAAGTTGTTAACTGAAAATCAGAAAGAAATATATTCTTTGAGAATAAATATTTTGTTAATAGATATTTTGCTAATAAGCAAAATAGATGCTATACAATGATGGAGAAAGTGTCGCCATTTTTATCCTATGTGCCATGTCACTTCAGCATATGGGTGATCATGACATTTGCTTATAATTTATCATTTTAATATGATGATGCATTGCAAATGATTTACTAAGGATTGCATTGTAAATGATTGTACTATAAGAATGCATTGTAAACGATTTTACTCTAAGAATGCATTGTAAATGATTTTACTATAAGAATGCATTGTAAATGATTTTACTATAAGAATGCATTGTAAATGATTTTAATATAAGAATACATTGTAAATGATTTTAATATAAGAATACATTGTAAATGATTTTACTACACAAATGCATTGTAAATGATTTTAATATAAGAATGCATTGTAAATGATTTTAATATAAGAATACATTGTAAATGATTTTACTATAGAAATGCATTGTAAATGATTTTACTATAATGCATTATAAATGAATTTGCTATAAGAATGTATTATAAATGAATTTGCTATAAGGAGGTATTGTAAATGATTTTATTATAAGCATGCATTGTAAATGATTTTAATATAAGTAGCATTGTAAATGATTTTAATATAACAATACATTGTAAATGATTTTAATTATTTTACTATAAGAATGTATTGTAAATGATTTTATTATCAGAATGCATTGTAAAAGATTTTACTATAAGAATGCGTTGTAAATAATTTTACTATAAGAATACATTGTAAATGATTTTACTATAAGAATACATTGTAAATGATTTTACTCTAAGAATACATTGTAAATGATTTTACTCTAAGAATGTATTGTAAATGATTTTACTATAAGGATGTATTGTAAATTATTTTACTATAAGAATGTATTGTACATGCTTTGACTATAAGAATGCATCGTAAATGTTTTGTTTTTATTATTGAAATGGTTTGTAAATGATATTATTATAATAATTAATATCAGAAAGAAAGCTAACTGTTAGTGATCTTGAAAAGTTCAATTTCCTAAAATACTTAATTTGTCAGTGATCGAACGAATGAACATGCTGGTCAAAATATCAAATAATAATAATAATAATAATAATAATAATAATAATAAGAAGAAGAAGAAGAAGAAGAAGAAGAATTCGTTTCAACGATACCAACAAAAGTGAGTAAATGTACCTTGCAAATGCAAAGTGTTCTTTTTGATTACACTCTGTTCTTCCTTGAGTTTTAAACATTTTTGCCCATTGGTCGATATTTTTCACTTACTGTCTCCCGTGTTTTGTAATTGCCAATAATTATCGACACGAAGTTTACATATTGGAGTTTTTCATAACATATATGTTTTTCATTTAGCTTTCGCGTCTTCTTCTTCTTCTTCTTCTTCTTCTTCTTCTTCTTCTTCTTCTTCTTCTATACTTCCAGTTGCTTCAGGACGTTGGCGATCATGACTTACCAAGCGTTTCCATCCTATTTATCTCTTAATAAATTTCTCTTTTTGTTATCCCTTCTAAACACTGTTCACCCATCCGTTTACAACATCCCGCTAGGTAGGTTATGGTCCTTCCTTTCAATTAATAGTTTTCCCAGGGTGAGAATTTATACCAATTTTATTATTTAACAAATTATAATTTTCAAATGTGTAGGTCATTTCAAAAAAATGTAAACAGATTCACCTCATGGAGATTTATATTTATTAAAATAACATAAAGTACGAATACCTCCTTTTTGTGCAATTAGTTTTAGCATTTCTAGATAATTCTTCAAAATAATAATATTTTTACGGTGCTTATTTTTTTCTTCATCCCATTTATTTCAAAATACATAAACCGGCATGCATATGTTTATTTATTTTTTACTATCAGGTCAAATGACACAATTTTTTAACCATACACATTACGTTTTTTAATGATAAATCCACAAAGTTTTCACTTATTAAGTACTTGCCAATCATCCGAGATATTTATTTATGAAAAAGTTATAATGCAGTGTAGTGATTGATATAATAGATGCTGTGCTATATATATTTGTTGTTACAGTGTGTACTAGCTGTATAACCCGTCGTACTGGGAAGTTTTGCCGTTCAGTTGGAGCAGATTATGTTTAAAGTCACCTCCCCTCGTAAATCAATATTAGTAACAACAAATGGGTGCAACTGAGGTACATCCCCAAATGGAGGATTAACAATTTGAAGGGGGGGCATGGACGTCATAATAATAATAAACGATTATTATTTTTTATAATTCTAATAATCTTTTTCGTTAGATTTCAACTCTCTTTAATTGATTGTACGTTGTTTTTTACAGACATTAAATTCTGCCTTTAATTTTTGAGCAAAGTGTAAGAATTCAGTTTTTTCGATTTTTCACCTTCAAGGTTGTAAATTTTTGCAGCCAATTTGGACTCAAAACACGCACTGAACAATTATCTATCAAACAAATAAAAATTCATCGAAATCGGATGAAAACTGTGGAAACTCATAATCAATATCCGATCACACACAAACGCAAACACACATACATACACACATTTTGAGAATTATAGATATAGATTATGAATGTTTATTATTTTTCGCACACATATTAGTTGAAATATAATGTTCAAGTGTCTGTTTATATAAGTGGGTTGATGTGAGAATATATATTGAAATAAAATACTGAATTACTTACTAAAAAACCCTGTAAAAAACAGAAAAACAGTCCTAACTGAAGAACAGCTTTAATTTTAATGTCATTTGACACTTCACCCGAAAGAGGTTCAAGGTACAATATGTTCTTCATTGGGTTGTGGTTGTTACGGTATTTTTGTGTCTATTATATATGTAACTAGTGAGCGAGTCAAAATGACTTATTTCTCTTTATAGTCTACCAATAGAAGGTGGACCAATCAGAAGCCGCACAACACTGTATCCGTCGCGTATAAAGGCGGCCATCTTGTTTTACCTACCGGAATGACCAGAGGCAACTTGTCCGGCGAATAGGACAGACGGAAGAACTACGCTCTGCTACCTTGCTGCGATATCCACTGCGAACCTGCACTACGCTTTCCTACTGTCTCCGAAATATTCACTGCCAACCTCTGGATTCTATACTCGAAGACGACCGTCATGAAAATGTCTAACAGTGGTATTATATACCTTTTAATCTCTATCTCGGGGAATCTCACATATACATAGAAGATTTATTTTCTGTTTATGTGCCGTGTCCTTTCAGGACGTTTGCGATCATGGCTCTCCACTTTCCCCTATCTCTTGTGGCTCTCAATAAGTTTCGTGCCTTTGCCAACTCCCCCAGACCACGTTCGGTCATCCACTTGCTTAAGCCAGCCAGGTATGTCATGCATTGCTTTCCCTTGTCTCTTTTTACTTCTATTCAACCTGGGCCTCCTTTCTCATTACGTGTCCGTAATCACATCTCGGTCGTAACTGATCTAGCGAGACAAGATTGCTAACCATTACAATATTAATTTATGTAAAAATACAGAAAATGTGGCACAAGGCCTAAAAAAAGGGATGGGAAAAAGGACGGTCTTCATCTGTCTTAATTTTAAACTAAAGCTAGCCACAAGCACTGACCCAAGCATACAAACAATATTCCTAACATTTCTTACTACATCCACCATAACAACCTCACTGTCTCAATGAAAATCCTAAATAGTTCCCATATGTACAAATCGTGGTGGGGGATAAAACAACTAATTAAAAAAAAGATCCCCAATGAGTATGTACAATATGAATTAATCTATTTACAAGAAACTAAACAACTATTACACCACATCGTAACGCACCAGTTAATCTAGCGAGACAAGCATGCTAACCATTGCACCACGCCGATGTGCCTACCCATTAATATTGATAGTGATTTTCCAAGCGTAGCTGTGGCACAAGGTCGAATGTATGGGGCACCCAGTGAGTGTCGAACTCACTTTTCAGTTGTAACTGATCTAGCGAGACAAGCTTGCTAACCATTACACCACGCCGAGGTGCCCA